TTATTTATACATTTACTTATAAAAAATATTTATAATACAGTATGAAATCTCTATAATAAGAACTTAAAAAAATATTAATAAATTTAATTCACTAGTTGGATTTTAATCAAATAAAAAAAATTGATTTATATTTATAAAAATGAATCGATTTATAAAAAAAAGTTTTTTACAATTTTGTAAATTATATAAGTATTGTATAATATATATATAAGCTAATCAGAAATTAAAATTAAAAATCATATAAAACAATTTATTTTATTTTATTTTATTATTTCATTATAAATTGTATTAAATATATGCTGATAAAAATTTATTTTTTTAGCTGAAATTCTGATATTTTCTAGTAATACTTTTTCTATAATATTTATAAATCGTTATAATTTTATGTATATTTTAAATTATAATTAAAAGAATTAAAACTAATACTTTAAAAATAATTTATTATAATCTAACCTATATGTAATTACAATATTCTTATATATTTCTTTTAATATACCCTAATATATTTAATTTATAATAATATTTAAGTTAAAATATACAAATAATAAAGAATTGTTTTTATAATTTCATTATCATATATTTTTTCAATTTCAGTTTTTATAATTAATTTTGAATAAATTTAACTTTATCAATATTGAGGATAGTAAAATTCTAATCTAATATTATTAAAGTATAGGTTATAGTTTATTTATTTTATAGATTAAATTTTAAATTTTATATATAATAAATTTTTTTTTACATTTTAAATTTGTTTCATTTTTATTATAGCAAAGTTCCTATAATAAAGGTTTTACACTGTATTAAAAAACTTATCAGATAAAGTTATACTGATATATTTTTAGCAAAAAAAATGAATAAAATTATTAATAAATTGAACCTAAAAATTCTTTACAGTAGTATCAGATGTAAGACTAAATAATTAAATACATAAGATAATTACTGAAAATATGATAATATTCTTAATATTTGATATATTGCTCATTCAATTAATTTAATTTCTAAAGATATATGTAATACTCTTTTGTAACTAAATTTTAACTAAATATAATATAATTATAACTTTTTTTAAAAGAGTTATTAAAAAGATAATATTTTTATATTTAATAATAAATGTTATTTTTTTTATTATAATAATATTCTAATTAAATAATGAGAGACAAAACTCCTTAATAACAGTTAAAACTTAAACGAAATTATATTAAAATCATAATAAGGGATACAATGAAATTCTTTTGATACGATAAAAGCTGAACCTGTCAAAATTATATTAAAAATATAGAAAAAGGTATAACAAAATTATTTTGAGAGGGTTTTGGTAGATATCTATAACTCTAATAATATAAAAAGAAGAAGTTTAAAATGATAGGTTAATACTTAGTAGTATACTAGGTTTAATTGTATCAATTCTATTTTATATCATAAGGAAGTTTTAGAAAAAGTAATTATTTATAATATATATAATATAATTATTTTTTTTTGTATTAGTATATAGATATTAATTTAATTTTTCTTAATTAAAAATTATAATCTGATTATATAGGTATTCTTTTATAATCAATTTTAATAATTATAAAATCTCAAATTTTTTTGATGATGTAAATACTGTATATTAGCATTTGCTTTGCATTTCATTAAAAAAGTAATTTTAAAATTAGAATTACAATTATATATGCTATTCTCAGCTATAATTAAAAAATTACTTAAAAATAATTATTGCATTTTTTATCACTAATATATTACAATTTTTAATAAATATCATGCTAAATTTACTAATCTAATATATTTATTAAAATATTTTTACATCTAGATTATAAAGGTTTGTGATAATAATTATATTTTTTTTAAACTTAAAATCATTATTTTTTAACTTAATAAATATTTTTTAATTTAAAAACTTTAATTTAAAATTATATTAGATACATAAAACTTTTCAAAATTTATTAATAGCTATAGATAAAATTTTTAATAAAATAAAAAAGAAATATTATACAAAAGAAATTAATATATTAAATAAAATTATATTATTTATGTAAAAAGCTATTTGATATTAAGTAAAGTATTACTGAATTTTTAACTACTTAGTGAATTTCTATGAGAAATTGTTTTTTGAAGGAAAGGATTATTTAGTATAACTGTTATTCAACCTATTTTCAATTATATCTTATGCAGTTGAATATAAACAAGTTTAATTTAATCTTAAATAATTATATAGTAAAAAAGAAATAGATTATGATTAAATAAAATTAAAAATATGTATAAACTATTAGCTTATTATAATGTATATGCAAAATAAAAATTGTCATATTATAGTATAGGAAAAACAAATAAAAAAATTTATAATATATTAGTTATATATATTTAAATTCAGATAAAAATCTTATTAAATTTATGAATAATAATGATAATACAAAAGAAGAATTAATATTTAATGAGAAGAAAAGTTTAAAAATTAGTAATATTTTAAATTTAAATACAAAAGTGTTCATTAAAAATTTAGATAAAATCATTAAAGATAGTTTAAAAGAAGAAGAATATGATATTTAAAATATACTTAAACTAGAAGTTACAAATAATATAGATTGAAATCCAGCTGCTGAAATTGATAAAATAACTAATATGTAAATTTATTATTGAATAATAATTAAAAAAATTAAAAAATCATTAATAATTACATAATACTATATTAATAAATAAGCATTTAATTTTAATTTTAATGTTAATTATTTAAAAGTTTTCTAATCTTAAAATAAAAAACTTCTTTACAATAAAATTATAATTAAAGTTTATAAATTAATTGATAGAAATTTGAAAATTAAATTTAAGAAGATTACAGAAGCTTTAAAAGTTATAGATATTTAAACATATTACAAAAGTTTAGATAAAGTTTCAGAAATTAACTCTAAAAAGTAAAATGTTTTGTCAATCATAAAATAATTTTATCTGAAATATTAATTTAATATAATCAATCATTTTTATTTAATAGAATAAGTATTATAGTTACATTTAATAATTTTTAATAAATTTTTATGTTTAATAATTTTAGTAATATTTTTAGTTATTAAGTTTTGTAATTTTAAAAACTTTTCTTAGTATTTTTTATATAAGGTATAAATAAGTTTAAAAAAATTAATACTTTTATAATAAATTTTATGATGTTTTTTAAGTAAAAATTAAAAAAAATTGTAATTAAATAATAAAATGTTATAAAATTTTTAACTTATATATTTTGCTATTTATTAATTTCAAAAATATAAAAATACTATATTTAATAAATCTTAATATAAATTATTAGATAATAAATTATTTTTAAAATTAAAAAATTGAAAAATTAATATATATTGATAATTATTAATTTTAAAAGTTTAAAATACTACTATTTAATACATTATAATATAATAAATCTAAAAATTTTATTTCATTTTTTTATAATTATTAGATATCAAAATATTTTAAGTTTTTTAAAATCTTTTAAAATCAATTTTATATTTACAGTTTAAGAGATAATTTTTTATTATTAAAGTATCATTTTTAATAATATGAGAGCTTTCAATAGAAAGAGAAAAAATTGTGAAAAAATCAATTTTACTTCTATATGCCAAATATGATTTTTAGGTCAATATGTTTAGATTTTGCATTAACTCATTTTTTATTACAAAGGTCCCATATAAAATTTATTGTTTAAAGTGAAATATAAACTATATATTATTAGAAATTTAAATAAAATTTTTTGATTTCTTTTATACAGGATTTATCTAATTGAATAAATCAATAATCAATAATCAAAATAAGAATTTATTAAAGTAATTATAATTAAGCTTTAGATTTTAAATAATTTTTATTTTTTAGTATTAAAGTAACTTAATATAAAAAGTTTTTCAAATCTACTTAGATTGGAAAAATATTATAAAATTTATATAAAAAGTAAAAAATATTAACTTAAATAAAAGCTAAAATCTAGTAATATTATTATATAATTTTTTTATTTATCTTCAATAACATTAGAATTAAAGAAATCTAAACAGTTTGAAAAATTGTTTTATAATAATTTTTAGCATATATAACTAATAAAATTAAAATATAACCTACTGTTTAGCAGACTTTAGTATATAAAAAATTATAAATGTTAAAAGTGAATGGGCTGAAGAAAAAGAAAAGTTGGGGCAATTAACATTTAAGCTCAACTGATGGTTCAATTATATATAGCTCAAAAATACTAATAAATGGATCAGCCGATATGAAAAAAAATTTTTTCACATTTATATAATAAAAGATTATAAGATATAGAAAATAGTGTATGTAAGGGATTATTAGTGTGTGAAATTTTTTATCTAATTTTTGTTTCTAAGCTAATTCTGCGTACATGACTATGATCGATCAAGTGGATTAATTAAAAAAAATTTTACCAAAATTTAGATTTCCTCCCTTTTTTATTGATTAGTCTAATAAAATGAATTCTGCAAGATGTAATTATGATAATGTGAGAATACAGAACTCGAAAAAAAAAAACAGAAACACTAAGCAAAACTAGATACTTGCTATGCAATATTTGAATTACAAATTTTTTGTTTTCACTTTAAGGATATATTTCAAAAGCAATGGCTAAAAAAAAAAAATTGATTAAATTGATTCTGTCGTACAATAATTCGAATTTCCTCATGGTGTTGATCGAATCCAGAATTTTTTACGATCAAATAAAAGTGATTTCAGAGTACTTCTCAATCATATCATTGATTAAACTTTGCAACGAAATCAAGATCATAGAAGATCACAGCTTAAAAGAATTAACCCCAACCACATGAAAAAAAAATCTTTTTTTCGTATTAGCGAATAAGAAATGCTTTATAAAATGTAAAAAAAAAAATATACACAAGAAAAAATAAGTTGAAAAAGGAGAAATAACAAAATATTTATGGGAAAAATTAAATCTACAAAATTATTTAATCGATCATCGAGGGGGCATCCAATATACCGATTGTATCACTTGTCGGGTGAGCACTCTATTAGCTCGTTAACGACGGCTCGGCCTGGAATCGTTTCATCTTTATCGAAAATTCATAAGCTTTCGAAACGTTGCCTATTATATTCCTCACAAATAGGATCCCAGAAATGACTCCTAAAACATCTATTCCTACATCGTAGGACGACTAAAAAAAATAATAATATACAAAAAAATAAGTATTTTGCGTCATCATCATTAAGAATTTAGTCGATTCGTGCATCCTATTCACCATAAATCTTAGGAGTCACCCGTCGCTCAAGAACATCGGAAACAAGGGAAGTACGTTCACGGCCAGAACCGTGGCCACGAAGAACTTTCAATTTCCCCGATATTTTACACCTAGTGGCATCGTAGCTTCAGATGCGACTCGACAAATAACGCAGTGAGATACTCACCCTTCTTGAGAGGAGGTTACCATCCCTATTAGCTCGTCAACGACGACACCGCCTGGGTCTTTATCGAAAATACATTATACCTCCATCGTCAGGGCGACTAAAAATGATAATATACAAAAAATGAGTACTTGCGTCATCATCATTAAGGATTAAGTCGATACATTAATTCGTGCATCCTATTCACCAAAATCTGAGCGTCCGTCACACAAGACCGTCGGAAACAAGGGAAGAACGTTCACGGTCAGAACCGTGGCCACGAAGAGCTTTCAATTCCCCCGATATTTTACTCCTAGTGGCAGCGTAGCTTCAGATGCACAACGACTCGACAAATAACTCAGTGAGATACTCACCCTGTCCACTCGTTCTCAAGCTAACATTTCCAACTTATTTACGAATGATTTAGAGATGATTTTTTTTTTATATTTAATGAAGATAAAATCAAAGACTATATACCATTTTCGTTAACAAACACGAGTTTTTTAATAGCTATTTTTGGTTAGATTTTCATGAATTTTGATTGGTAAGCAGATCGGCTGCTAATAAAAAAATCTCTTTTATTATAACTTTTTCAGCAGTTCGCAATTACAATAAATAGCGAAATGGCGTTTATAGGAAGTTGGGTTCGTCACCACCACCACGTTCACGTTGTTACACTGTCATAATGTTAAATTATTATTGTGATATCATTGATATGTGATGTCGAGTGAATGTCGTGCGACAAGCAGATTATATTAATAATAGTGTAGATTGCAATTTTATTTTAAAATTTTTTCATGTGTTGTTTAGTTTTTAAAGTTATTTTTGTAAAAATTATTATGGAGTTTGTTGGGTTATAAAGATGAAGGGTTTTATGGATTTTGGTTACACTCTCAAGATGGGCATATTCTGTGATTACTTCTGGGTCAGTCATAAAGGCAGATCTATCAAGAGTTACTTCTGAACATGTTCCCAACTGGAACATCAGCTAAGAGTAACATATGCTTAGCTAGTGGAGAAAATTTGTTATCTAAGTTAAGGGATACATCGTGCAGGATGAGCCCTTGAGTTTTGTGTACAGTTAGTCTATAACAGTTTTATAATAGAAACTGTCAATGATTTGCAGAGTTTCCAGTATTGGTGAAGTAATTCATGATCATTCAGATTTCTAGGTCAATAATACCTTCTGGTATGTTAAATGAATTCAGATCAGGTTTGCTTTGGGGTTGATATCAGTAACAATATCAATTATTCCATTACAAATGCTAAGTTTTATTTAAAGTTATTCAAGTATATTATCATTACAGCCTATTAAACTTATACTAATGCTGATAAGTTTATTCTTGATTTAAACATTTTTTTAGTTAGGGTCATATTTTATCTTTTACCATTTACAGAATTTTTTTTTATTGTTAAAGAGTATTGCAAATCAAATGATTAATTTTATCAGCTGTTTTATAGTAATCTATAATATTCATAATATTAAGAAAAGGTCTATTAGTTTATTAATATCAAATTTTTGATGATTTTTTTGTAGTTTGTCTTAGGTATCATCTGTTATGTTTCTGAGACAGATGTTTTATAGCATATCAAAAATTCAGAATGCTTATGTTAACAGTAAGGTTAGTATAGAAAAGTAGACAAAATAGTTTTTAAATCAATAATTTGAATATTTGTAAGTCTTAAATCAGTGAAAGTTGTATTAAGTTGTCAACTAAAATTATGTTAATATCAGCAAATATCATGATATTATTGAAATAGTAGTAAATATATTCAATATAAATTCTAAGAGTTTAGCTGATATTATAAAAACTTTTTCTATTATTATAGTAGTGATCTATTTAGCTATTCTTTAAACTTATTATTATAAAATATAAAAATGTGAAACCTAATTAAATTATTAATATTTTTAGGGTAGCATAAATGGTAAATCCTCTAATGTTTTAAGCGATAATATCTATAAAAGCTATTATAAGATAATTTAAATTGTTACTTTTGATAAGTTTACTAAAAGATGAATAATATATAATTTTTTGTTCCTCCTGATCTAATAATGAAAAAGTAAAGTCAATGATATTTATTTTTATTATTTTAGAATGAATATTACATAATATTTATTAAGTAGTAATTAGTATATAGAATTTTTAGAAAATATTAAAGATAAAATTTTTAATGAATTTAATTAACTTTTTAAGATCATTATTATATCTTTTGGAATAGTATATTTTAAATTTAATAACAGTTGATTTAAAATTCAGAATACCTTATATTTATAAATTATTTCATTTGTTAAAAATAATTTTAAAAATTTTGATTAATTTTTTCAATAATATTCAGAAATTTAAATAGATAATAATTACAATATATTAAGAAAAATTTTTTTAATTTATTTTTATTTGTATAGATATAGATTTTAATAAAAATATATTTTTTTATTAGTTAATTTTAAAAAACAATATTATATGATTATTGGTTTAATCTTTTTTAAAATAAAATTTCAAATTAGTTTTATATATCTTTCTTTACATATTTGTTAACCTACTTTTTTGAGTAATATAATTTTAAAGTACTTCAAGTAAATTACTCAAATAAAAATTATATTTGTTAGTTTATTCATATTTTTTTGATAAGATCTTTGAAATAAGAATCATCTTTTTCACTTATTAATAAGTAACTAAATAGAACTGTCTTTGATCTATAATTTGAAAAATCATTATTAAGATATTTTACTTATAACAAAGAATTTTAAATTAACTTATTAAGTAATAGGAATATTACCTCTAATACTTTTAATCTTTAGATAACTATATGCTTCTTAAATTGATCAATTTTTATTATATTAAAAATATAGGAAAATTTTACTTTTATTATATACTTGGTAATGTATCTGACAAATCTTTTAAAAATTATATAATATGCATTTATATAAATATTTTAGATCATCAAAGTCTCAGAATAATATAAGGTCATTTACTAATCTAAAGATTTTATACATTTATATATATACTTGTAAAAATTTAGATTAAAATAAATAGTATTATAGAATGGTTACAAAAAGTCTTTTTTATATTTCTTACTAGAAATAGCAGGTCTCTACACTTAAAGCAGTATTAACTTTTGACTATTTGACTAAAGTTTAATCATTAACTATTTGACTAATTTGGCTAACCAAATGATTAATAAATCTTAATTGCAATCAAATATTAATCAAATTCTAATAAGTATTAATATATTTATTAATACTTAATTATTTGATCAAAAATTAGTTGTTTAGTTATTTTGGCTATTAATTATAGCTAAATGGCTAAAAAAATTTTGACTATGATCAAATGTCAATATTGATTTAAAGAGATCATATCAATAGATTTAGTAAATTAGCATTTTTTAGTATAATTTAATTCTTGTATTAGATTTAGTAAATCTAAATATATTATATTATTTTTAATCATATAATTAATTAATTTTATAGTCTATTAATATTGTATAAGTGTAACTCTTCTATTCTAAAACTTAATCTGATTAAAAAATTCTATAATTGTATTCTAATTACTAATTTTTTCATTTTTTCATACTTCTTTTTTGATTAATTTAAATTAGTATATAAAATAGAAAATCTCTAGTTTTATTATTAACAGAATATGAAAATTAAAAAAAGATCAAAGTTTTGTAATATTAAATCAAAATGTAATTTCTTTTCATAAAAGAAATTTTTATTTTGATAAAAATGAGTATTGACGTGTTAGAGTTTCATTGAGATATTTTATGTTTAAATAGTTACTTTATTACATTGTAATAGATCAAATAAAATTAGAAGTCATTACAGTTTATTTATATTTTATATAATATATGTAAAAACTAAACAGTTCAGATTAATTTGAAAATTTTTTAGATCAAATCAGTTTCAAATTGCATAAAAATCAATCTAAAAATTTTCAGTTCAATTTGGATTTTTCAGATTATAATTCTAATCCAAACTAAAAATCTGAATTGAATTAAAAATTTTAGATTAATCTAAAAGTTCAGTTCAATTATATGTAAAACTCTTAAGGATCATAAAATTTGCAAATTCTCTAAAAGGATTACACTTTTTTTACAAAGATCATAAAATTTTTAAAGAATTGCAATTTTTTGCAATTTTTCTTTGAATTTTATAAAATTTTACAAATTTTCTAAGAAGTTCACAAAATTTAATTAACCTTTTAGAGAAATTATAATTTTTTTATGATTTATCTTTAAATTTTCAAAAAATATTATAAAACTTTTTAGAGAATTACAAAAATTTGCAAATTCTCTAAAAGGATTGTAAAAATTTAGTGAAACTCAAAAAATCGCAAATTTTGTGATTTATTTTATTTTTTTAATTTTTTTATTATTTTTTTAAATTTTTTTATTTTTTATTTTATATTATTTTTTTTTATTTTGTTTAATTATATTTATTTTTTTATTATTTTATTTTAAAAGATTTTGTTTATTTTAATTTAAAGTTTATGTTTTCATTAATTTATTTTATTTATTTTTTTCACTTTTTGTTTTATTTTATTTAAATTTTTTTAATTTATTTTTTATTTTCATATAATTTCTATCTTTTTTTATTATTTTATACTTTCATTTTATATTTTATTTTTCATTTGATTTTTTTCATTTATACTTTTGTTATTTTATTTATCTTTTAGTTTTTTATTTTTATATTTTATATATTATTTTGAATTTTGCAAAATAATTGTAAAACTCCTAAAAATTATGATTTCTTTTTAAATTTACAAAAATATTACAAAACTTTAAAATTTAGTGAAATTTTTGAAAAGTTGTAAAAAATTATGATTATTTTTGAATTTCACAATTTTTTGTAATTTTCCTAGAATTTCGCATATAAATTGCAGATTCTCTTTAAGATTCACATATATTTAAACTGTAATTTTAGATTAATTTAAAAATTTTAGTTCAATTTAGATTTTTACTAGTCTGTGGTTTAGTTCAGATTTAAATTGACTTTTAATCTAAATTGATTTGAACCGTTCAGAGTTTTATATATACATTATATACTTTAATAATAGTAGATCTTTTTTAACTACATATAAATATAGAATAACTAATAATAGTAAATCTAAACCTTAAGTCATTGAGAAACAGTATATACTTAACATATTTTTTTAAAGTTTCTATTTTATTTTCAGCTGATTGTATATGTAAAAGTGATTTTTACTATTAGAAAATAGGTAAGAAAATAAAAGTGATTTAAAGTTTAATTAATAAATAAAGATAAGCAATAAGTACTTATTATCAATATAGATAAATTCTTTTATTAATCACAAGTAATACAAATTCTTATTATACACTTTATTTAGTAAATTTACTATTAACACAATTATATTATACAAATTATTAGTAGTGTAATATTATTATTAAATATATGTGATAGTTAGAAATAGGCTTATTGCTCTTAATATAGATTATTAGCTTAAAATATTTATGTAATTATA